TGTAGACTAATGTTTTGTTTTGTCCCCAAACCTCAACCCCCTCAACCCTGCACTGTTCCCCTCAGTGTATACATTTGCTCTCCTAACTCTGAACTACTGAAAAAGAAGCAACAGAAAATGACACCCTTACTCACCTCTTTTCTGGCAGCTAAATTTCTAGAAACTCAAAGTGCACTGCCTGAAAGCCAGAACATCTGCATCAACAGCATTAGTAATATTAACTACTTTTATTAGAGGCTTCATTTATATCAGGCATTGTACTAAGCACTTCAGAAGGATCACCTTGTTTATTCTTCTTAATACACCTATGAAGTATGTTCTGTAGCTTGGGGACTGTTTTCCATAAATCCCACATTGGATCTGTTATGGAAAAGAGAACTAGGATTCCTAACGAGGCCTTGCAGTGGGAATGAGAAAGAAACAGCAGTGACGATGACTAAACCCCAGGCAGTCACGAGAATGTCCCTAGGAGAGATAGATGATGACATCCAGGATCAAATACTCTTTGCCTCCTTACCTTAGGGCTATTCAAGGAAGAGGGAAGATTTTGTGTATATGGGCTAAGTGAACCTGAATTAACTGAGATTGTTTTCCTTAATAGATAAATTAGACACTCATAATAGAAATTAACTCCAGTTATGACAAAATAAACCTGTATTTCTTGCACAACTCTATTTGTGGACTCACATAATAATATCACCCCTCTGCTTCTGGAAAAAATAAAAAATACAAAATCCTGAGATTCTGACATTAACATGCCTGTCCATGATCATACAGCTATTTATTGATGGTGTCCAGATTTAAAGTCATAAGGTCTAAATCCAGTCTTCCAGAAAGTATGCCCTTTCTGTGTATCTTCGGGTCATCAAGGAAAGGTGAAAATGTATTTGGCTCACAGCACTGTTTGATAAAAATCTAATTCAAAATACATATATAATTTTAAGTTTTCTAGCAGTCACAATTTAAAAAGTAAAAAGAAACAGGCAAACATAACTTTCATAACATATTTCTTTTTAAAAATAGGTATACAAAATATCGATTTAACATGTAATCAATATTTTTAAACTTTTAATAAACTATTTCACATTCTTTTTTAATAGAAAGTCTTCAAAATCTGGTGTGCATTTTATACTGACACTACATCTCAATTCAGCTTAGACACATTACAAGTGCTCAATAGCCACATGTGGCCAGTGGCTACTGTATTGGTCAGTGCTGGCTTAAGCGAAAGAGTAAAGTGATGATACAAATTCATCAGAAGGGACACTTTATGGTCCCCACTCATGTTGCCCCCAGATACTCATTCCATAGTGTGTAGCAGGAAGCACAACCCACCTGTATTTCTCAGAACTTTACCTTCTTTGAAAGAAAGCTAAGATTTTTCAGGAGTCGAACTTAACATTTTCTTCCAGTAAGACAACTTTCATTTTAAAAACGTCTCTCATTTTAGTTAACAGCTTTATTGAGGAATAACTGACGTGCAAAAACTTACTTTTATATAGGGAGAAAAGTTTTATTTTGCCTTAGTAACCGTCCTTGGTTTTATTGATGAACTCAGTTAAGTCTTGCCACCTATAAGGTAGTTACCACTAGTGTTATTTATTCAATGTCCTAACATCAGGAAATTGAGGCTCAGACTATTGAGAGAACTCGTCCTAGGCGATTCAGCTAGAAAGTTGGGGCATCTGAGTTCAAAATTAAATAGCCTGCCTCCACTTCACAATACTGTAAATATCAGGAGAATCTGTTTTTGTATTTTGGGGCCATAAAATGTGAGAAGCAGAGATGGGGAGGTGGGAGCATTTTAATATAATTACCTTGCAAAACAGAAGAAACAAAAATGTCTTTATGTAAATTTCTAGCTAAGCAGTCAAATTAGCATACCTTGTTATGCTTTCTATTGTTTCATGTAATAATCTGGCAATTTGGCAATTGCATAAAAGGATATGTACCGATGATTCTAATAACAGATAATGCCTTTAGGTAATGCCTATTTACTTATATATGCATTTGTTTGGCCATTAGGTGTCTTATAACTTTAGTATTTGTAAACGATGAGCTTAATAATAATTTAGCATGTTTGCTGAACACATCACAAAGTGGGAGTACTTTATAAGACAGAATAGTGTGAGATTTTTAGTATTATGCTCTCATGATACATTCAAGCACTTGTGAAACTGTACTGAAAGTTTTCATGGATGTACTCCCCCCAAAAGAGCAATTTCTGCAATATTTTAGAAATATGAGGGCTGCCAATATTTTTCCTCTAAAGATGTTCCTTCCCTCCTCATAACCTGGTCACCACTGTCCACTATCGCCTTTGTCACCATTAACTAATATGGAGAGAATCCCACACACACCTAAGTTGCATTCTTCCTAGATGCAGACGTGCCTGGGCATTTCTGGAGAATGGATGAATCAGAGCCACAAGGAATCAGTTTGAGAAAATTAAAAATAGCCTTAGAGCAAAGAAAGAGAAGTGACGTTTACTGTTTCGTCTAATAAAAATGCCCTGAGTAAAAGAGTGCGAGGAGTGATATAAAGCAAGTGTGTCTCATCTCGTTCGGTGACTTCCTCTCTTCCTCATAGGCTCTCTCTTCCTTCTGTCTCTCCGGGAACCCGAGGGGAGGAGACTGGCAGAAATATAAGACAGCTGCCAAGCTCAAAGGTCTGAGAGATACTGAGCACACAAAACAGCACTACTTTCGAACTTTGGACGACTATAGAACAAGAGTGGGATTTTTTCCCATTTGGAAATGAAGCCAATACAGATCTAAAAAGTCAAAAAACTTGGCGAAGCCTTGACATACCTAGAGCACTAGCACATCAGCAGTGACCAAGACATCTCTCGACACAAAGCATTGCCCCAGTGACCTCAGCTGGCCTTAACAAGGCAAGAGCAGCCACCTCAGGGCAACACATTCATGAGACACCTACATATACACAAACAAGCAACACGTGGCAGCCTGCATCTCCTAGAGTCCAGCTAAAGAAAGGAAAGTGTTTGTGTGGTGGCCAAGAAAACTGTTTGAACACCTTTGGGAATTTACAGGAACTCCCAGAAATAGTTGAGATAGGGACACCTGGAAGCGGCTGGAGATCTCACAAAGGCAGGTATACAGTCAAAGAAATAATTTACATGACCCCTGCTATGAGCCTAATTTTTTTCCTAGCTTTGTATGGTCTGGGCATGGGTTATATCCTGACTCATTAAGCCCTATTATCACATTAGCACTGTGCTAATCCCTCTACTGTTACTCAGACTCCAGCTCATCTTAAATGCTCATTGATGCTCAATTAATCTTTCCCGAACACAAGAAGGAAAATTAATGTGTCAGTGGAGGACAGGATGAGGAGGATGGGCCAAAGGAGAACACTGTTGTAGGAGACGCTAGGAAAGGAATGGCAGTAGGATGGGTTATGGAATTGTGTTGGGGGACCCATCCTGCAGTGACAGACCGCCGGGGCTCCAGTGATCACGGTGAGTCCTGACCCTGGAGCTGGGAAAAGAAATGCTGAATGGAAGCCCCCCCGTTAGTCAAGTCCTAAATTGAGAAGGAAGGAAGCAGACATGATTGGTATTCTTGCAATTAATTATTATCAATACAAGTTAGAACCAACAATCCCATCTAACAAATCAAAAATGTAGTAGGAATTTCATTGCTTTATCGGGAGTGGTTTTTTTTTAATGTCTTATGCTTGCTTTAATAGAAATTTCTCCCAGTTCCCCAATTCTGTAACTGAGCAACAAATGCCACACTATTTCAGAAATTCAAATTATTTTGCGTAAATAAATAGGAAAATGATTCGTTTTTTCAAACTTCCCTAAACAAGGGAGCTGTCAAAAACAGTAGGAGCATTTGTCCACAAGAGGGCGCCAGAAGCTGACGGTCTCTGAGTTTGATGACAAAGTTAAAGGAGGAAAAACACCAAGTAAAAAGCGATAGGTAGATGTATCTGGTTCACATGCTTGCCTTATGCTAATGCTTACATGGTATTGAACTCCCTTTAGAGATTCAGGATGTTAAATATGTAAATAGCAACCTCTGAGCAAGGGAGATAGTGGTATCATTCTGTTAAAATTGCCTTGCAACAGTGAGGTTTTTAAAAATGAATTAATTTGAATAGGTTTTCCTCCACTTAAAGGGGAACTGGAAATGGCATTTCAATTATTAGAATCATTGATACATGTCTTTTTATGCAATTGCCAAATTGTTACATAAAACAATAGCAATCATAACACGATATCTACCGAAGTATATCATTGTTAATTTGCTAAGCAATGCCAATTGTAAGGATTTGATTTGAAATGAAGCTGCAATGTAGAATACAAACAGAAGATTTCAGAATACTCTATTATAAAAAGAGAGAAATAACGTTGTTTTTAAAAGGGAGAGGAGACAATATGTGATAGTAAATTACAGAAGAAATAGATTTAATTTTTTTTTTTTTTTTTTTTTTTAAAGAAAAGGTCAATGGTACCGAGGAACTAAGGGCTCAGCTATTTTCAGCAGGAGCATGTGAAACTGATGACTGTATGACAGGTGCACACCATATAATTTTACTCATTCAGTATCTCACAACTGTAGTTACTTTTACATGTAAATAATAACAGTGTTCATGAGTTATATCATTTCATTGTATCTTATATTTCTCCGTTCGGCACTTTTTTTTTGCAACCAAAACACCACACCCTTTATTTTATTTATTTATTTAACTATCTGTTTGTTTACTTCTAGAGACAGAGTCTGACTCCGTCACCCAGGCTGGTCTTGATCTCCTGGCCTCACGATGTTGCCCAGGCTGATCTTGATCTCGTGGCCTCAAGTGATCCTCCCACCTCAGCCTTCCAAAGCACTAGGATTACCAGCATAAGCCACCTCACCCAGCCTACACCCTTTATTATGTAAGGGTAGGGTAGTATACTTGATAATCCTAGAGTCTTGTGGGCCAGTCAGGCAGACACAGAATTTAAAAGAATAAACAAATGGACAGTGGAATCTTGGAGTGGATTCTCTATTTAATTCATCTCTTAGTGTATTAGTTTTCTATTGCCACATAATTAGTTATCTCAATACACAGTGGCTTAAACCAACACAGATTTATTATCTCATAGTTTCTTCGGGTGAGGAATTCAGGAGAATCTTAGCTGGTGTTGCCTTAGGGTTCCCCATAAGGTTGTAGTCAAGATACCAGTCCAGGCTGTAGTCATCTGAAGGCCTGAATGAGAGGAAAGGATCCACCTCCAAGATTGCTCACTTGGAGGGGGGTCTCAGTTCCTCACCTATGGACCTCTCCACAGAGCTGCTTGAGAGTCTTCACAACATGGCAGCCATCTTCTCCATGATTAAGTGGTCCAAGAACCACATGTCTTTCATGATCTAGCCTCAAAAGACAAACTCCATCATTCCCACAATATCCTATTGGTTACACAGGTCAGCCCTTTTCAATGTTGGAGGAGACTATATAAGAACATGAATACCAGGAGGCTAGAATCCTTGAGGGCCATCTTGATTTCTGGTGCCACACCTAGCTCCTCCAGTGTTCAAGGTATTTATGGCATCCCCATATGGCCAACATAGATGTAGGCAGAAAAGTATCTTTGCCGAAGGCCTTTTCTATCTCCTTCCTCCCACAGTCTCTACAACCCTCTTCATATCCCTTTTCTCCTTGCCCTCATCTCCTTCAACCAAACCCCGTGAGTCAGTTGTCTGGTCCTTCCTTGTTCGGCTCCTTCACATTCCATTGCCAAGTTGTTGCAGAGATTTTCAGTTGCTGAAGGCAGAAGAGAGAAGAGAAAAATATCTTCATTAAGGTCGGTCTTTTACATTTTCGGTATAAGGCCATTAGCTTCTTCATACTACCACATATTAGTATATTGTTTGCACTTTATTGTACTAAAGAATACCTGTCTCCTTTTTGAATCAAATTTGCCACAGCCTTGTATTCTGGCTCTCAATAGGAGTCAGTCTTCACATGAGACATGTGGTGGGGAGATGAGGGGAGGGGAGTCAGAAATCCATACTGCCACACAACAATTGCAATCCACAAATTACGTGTAGATTATTCCTTTGGTATACATCTTGTCTAGTAAAATACAAGCTTGCAAATGTACACAGTGATTACTTAGGAGAAGATTAGAGATTCACTGAAGAGGGGGAGTCTTTGAAATGAATTCAAGGAAGAGAATACCATGGTGTCTCCCTTCACCTACATGAGAGGACAGGGGTGTGTTTCCCTAAAAGCAAGCCAAGGAAAAGGGACCCTAAGAGGACCACTCAGAGATGAAAGTTTTCTCCAAGAGATAGTTCACTCCTTAGGTGGAAGTTTGCTGAGTGGCAACACTCTGTAGGCAAATTGATGAGAGTATTTGGGGAAGCTCTGACATGTCTCCAGGTATTTCTCCATGCATGAAGAAATGAAGGCACTCTAAAGGAATCTGTAAGCAGGAGACCACCGGAACAGCCCATAATGGTAGAGCAAGAACAGACACTTACAGGCAAAATGGCCTACACCTCCAGCATTTAGCTGGCCCTCGATGCATGAATTTTCCCATTTTCCATCATTTTGCCTGCTCTGGGAAGGAAACTGCATGAGTCTAGCAGGGTAAGAACAGAGGTCAGCCAGTAAGAGCATTACAAACACCAGGAAACTACAGTGCAAAGATCCCTGTGGGTGGAGAGGAAGGCAGAGAACACAGAAAATCATCCCACAAAAGAGAACTAGTGATGAACACCTGCCAAGGTAAAGAGTAATCGGCATTGGTAAAACAGCCCCAGGCCAGACACAGCGGCCCATGCCTGTAATCCCAGCACTTTGGGAGGCCAAGGTAGGTGGGTCACTTGAGGTCAGGAGTTCGAGACCAGCCTGGCCAACCTGGTGAAGCCCCGTCTGTACTAAAAATACAAAAAATTAGCCAGGCATGGTGGCACATGCCCGTAATATCAGCTACTTGGGAGGTTGAGGCAGAAGAATCACTTGAACCCAGGAGGCAGAGGTTGCAGTGAGACAAGATTATGCCACTGCACTCCAGCCTAGGCAACAGAAAGAGAGTTCATCTCAAAAAAAAAAAAAAAAAGGAAGGAAGGAAGGAAAGAAGGGAGGGAGGGAGGGAGGGAAAGAGAGAGAGAAGGAAAGAAAGAAAGTAAAAGAAGGAAGGAAGGAAAGAGAGAAAGAAAGAAAAAAGAAAGAAAGAAAGAAAGAAAGAAAGAAAGAAAGAAAGAAAGAAAGAAAGAAAGAAAGAAAGAAAGACCCAGAAAAAAAAGAATAATAACGAATCCCATAAAATATCCAGTAACACCTAACAATTACTGAGTAAATGCTTTACACAGATCAATTTATATGATTCTCAGGACTCTAAGTCATTGTTTAAAAAGTCATTATTGGGATTGTGAGGAAGGAACACTGTGGAGACACATAACCAAGGTGACCAAGCTAGGGGGTGGTAGGGGCTCCGACCCCAAGTCTCTCACTCAAGAGATCATGATCTTAACCCCTTTTTACTGCCTCCTTTTTAACCTCTTTACCTCTCATCACACCCCTGCCCCCGACCTGGACGCTGGAAGAGCCAAGAACAGCGTAGTGAGCTGGAACTGAAAGAGGATGTGAAATAAGGAGACAGAAAAAGAGTTAACACCTCACCTGTCCCCACCCACATCACTAATTCCTGAAACAGCGTCCAGCTGGAGGCTGAGGCAGGAGAATGCATGAACCCGAGAAGCGGAGGTTGCAGTGAGTGAGATCACACCACTGCACTCCAGCCTGGGCGACAGAGCGAGATTCAATCTCAAAAAAAAAAAAAAAAAAAAAAAAAAAAAAAAAAAAAAAAAAAAACAAAACCAGAGTCCATGCTAAGCCTAAAGGGAAAAATTTTTAAACTGGAGGCAAGATTAGAATGCTGGTTTAGAATGGACTTTTAAACACTTGGTGGCCCGGCGCAGTGGCTTACGCCTGTAATCCCAGCGCTTGTGGAGGCTAAGGTGGGTGGATCATCTGAGGTCAGGCGTTTGAGACCAGCCTGGCCAACATGGTGAAAGTGCATCTCTACTAAAAATACAAAAAGTTAGCTGGGCATGGTGGTGCATGCCTGTAGTCCCAGCTACTCAGGAGGCTGAGGCAGGAGAATGGAGTAAACCCGGGAGGCGGAGCTTGCAGTGAGCTGAGATCCGGCCACTGCACTCCAGCCCGGGCGACAGAGCAAGACTCCGTCTCAAAAATAAATAAATAAATAAATAAACAAACACTGTTAATGACTGACAAACTAAGAGATCTGTTTAAAAAAAAAAAAAAAAATGCTGTCAAATAGTGGAAAAGGAGAAGTCCAAAAATCAGCAGTGATATATAGTGGTGGAAAAATAAAGCTATTTTCTGATTGTATACTATGGAATCCAGATCATTCAATAAAGGCTTACGCTTTTATAGCTGCCTTTAGTAGTTTGAAACTGACAAAGTTGTGCTTATCCTTCTGCCAGGCAGATCAAGAGAATTAACTCACCAATGTGTAGAGAAGATTAATTTTAGTCATAAATTTATTAAAATATAAGTCTGGAAGGACCTTGAGAAGTATCTATCTATTCTCCTTTCAAAAGAATGTGTTAAGTCTGACCAATAATGAAAAATAATTGGGCACACAATGTAAATGAAATATAAAGGAAAAATGATTATTGTTTTCAAAGAGTAATTGAATCATGACTTAATAAGAAAAAACTAATAGATTTGCATGTTTTTTCAAAAACTCATAACTCTGAAAATTTACAACTTTTAAAATTTTTCTTATTAACTGATTCATCTTTTTACTTTAATACTGGCAGTAACAATAAATAACTCAAAACAGTCAAAGCTGTAGGATACATGGTGAAATAGTCTAACTTCCATAAACCACAACTTAAGAGTTTGAAATAAGTTAGACAAAGAACCTTTACTTTTCTTCTGTTCACAGATATAAACCATTCTTTAAAAAAACCAGATTTTCTAAAGACCTCTTTTGTTTCTAGCAGGTTTACACATCTAAAATTCTCTCAACAATTCTTGAGGAAAAAAATGTCAAAAACATTGATATTTTGTACGAGATTATTTTTACCTATTTTTACTCTGCTCATTATGATGAATCATGAAAAATTCTTTCCTCAATATTTTTTTATTGACTAAATGACTTTCCTAAGATATTTTACATATAAAAGAGGTCTCAAGAAAAAAAAAAAAAACACCCTTGTTAGAAAACCTAACTTGTCTACATAGTCTTTAAAGTTCACTAATCTTGGAAAGGAGGTAATCTCTAGATGAGAAAAGAAGCCATTTCAAGGAGCTGAAACCCCACACAATGGTTTGGTCTGGAGTTTGTAACTGCGCTCACAGAGGGCACAAAAATAACTGCTACCTCATTTTGCTTCCTTCCTGACCTATTGTAATTTACAAGTGTTATATATGTTTTAAAAATTAATTTTGTCAGCATCTCCATTTTGAACTGAGGATAAAATTGAAGGGAAAGAATTCCAACATTTTTACTAACAGTAATAAATGTTAGGCCATATCTCCAGAAATTCTGAGTTGTAATGCATCTTGGGCGAAAACTGAATATTAGTATTTTTTAAATCGTCTCCCTAGGATGAGAACCACTGCTCTGGTTCATTTGTATATGCAGGTATGCCTTGTTATTCCTTTATTAATAAGACCTTATGTCCAAACCTAAAGAGTAGGTAAATGCAAACCTCCAGCTATACCTTCATGCAGAGTCTGCCTTGTGTGTTCAACATTCCTGTAATTCTGCAACTACACTGTTCCTGGTCATTCACTGTTGTTTTCTGAGTATTATAACACATATCTTAATTGTGAATCTAAATGAGTCCTAAATGGAATTTAAAAGCTGTTTTTTAAACCATTAAACATATTAGGTGCCTAGACACTACACATTCATTGAGCCTTTGCTAAAACTGAAATTAGGTCTTGTTTTTACTTCAAATGACCCTTATTACAAATGTATTTAGTATTCATTGGAATGACATTTTTTGGAATGACATTTGTATTTAAATGCATGTGTATTTATTTCTGTAAATATTTCATTAATTCAGTCTTTGATAAAAAGTTGTTGATACTTCCTCAATTGCTTTATTTGGATGGAGATGAGTCCTCCCTTCTTTCAGAAGATTTCTGAAGCTGGCCTGATCAAGAGTTCTGGGTACATAAGGCAAAGTCTATGGTCTCATTTTGCCATACAAGTCAATCATCATTATTGCAACTGAATCCTCACTTGGTGAGAAAATCAGGAAAATGTTCATTCTCCAATTATAATGTGGCATATAAAACTGCACAATAATGGCAAAGATAGACATGGAAGCTAAGTAGGAAAAATCATTTTCCATTTGTAAAATATAAGGGTGTCTTTTCAACCAGCAAGGCCATCAAGTCTTTTATCTAACTGCTGATGTTAAAAATTAAATATAAGTATTTATGCATTTTTAATTCAATAAGAATAACAGTTACTATTTAACTAGCATTTATATTACCATTCACATATTTTCTCATTCTCATGGCAAATCAATGAGACAAAAAAAAAAAAAAAAAAAGACAGGCAAGCTTGAGCTTAGAAATATTTAATCATTTTTTTCAGAGTGAAACTAGCAAAATGATGGCAAAAGGAAGACCAAATTTTGAATCTCTTTAATTTTTTTTTTTTTTTTTTTGAGACAGAGTCTTGCTCTGTCATCCAGACTGGAGTGCAGTGGCATGATCTCGGCATGATGGGACTACAGGTGCCCACCACCATGCCTGGCTAATCC